AGCTTTTGCCGACTACTACTGCACTACATGCTTGTCTACATAGGTATGTCGTGATGTTTGGCCGTGTACGTTCTTTCCAGAGGTGTCCATGGACCGTGAACAGGGATAGGTTCAAGTGATTCCTATCAGGTGGAATATAAAGCGTTGTAACGGTTTTGGTATGTGGCTTAGAAGACTTTAGGCCGCAGTAGGATTTCGGCAAGCATGCTATGCTCAGATTGTGGGATTGCAGTCAAAGACCCCCGAAACAGACCATAAATATCCCTATACCAAATGCTTCGTCCTAGCCAGGCGAAGGCAAAACTGTGGAGTACACTTACACGATGACCTCTTAACCCTAAACCCCAACCAACAACCCTGAACCTTAAAACCCTAAACCTTTAACCAGTCTACACCAATCCGAATCCTCGCTCTCTGCCGAGGGCGCTGCCAAGCAGTCATCAAATCTGACCGCACCCGGCCGTGCACTCTCGGAAATGAAACCGCAATGGGTCCTAGATACTGTTAGCAGGGGATACTTCCCATATCATAGTAGTGATTCCTTTTCTAGAAACCCGATCATTGATACCTGGGTCTGCCCTGCCTACAACCCTGAGTTTACGTATCGAAACCTTTCGGAGACGAGCTTGGTTTTGGCATTGGGCTTCTGATCCGTGGCAGCTATTGCATTGCATCGACATCTCCGGTGGCTCACGGATCGCAGCATAGCAGTTAAAGGGTTAAGAACGGATGCGCGAATACAGGGGCCTGAATAGCTAGAGTGATGCTTTGGAGCAGCACGATAACGGATTCACATAGGCATGTTTTGGGGGCCCGTGAACCGAGGTTGATCCAGTAAACTGAAGTTTACAAGTGTTGCGAGCTGTAAGAACGTATCGCCAGCCTGTCTAGATTTCGTCAGATATAGCAGTAGTGAGAGTTTACTCACCGGCGCTGGTCGCAGCAACAGTTTCAAAGCCATGTTGGCATCCTGCCTGATCGGGAGAAGGAGGAAAGCGTCGAAGTTTCTACCGTAAGTCATAATCCACAAGACTGCGGTATGGAGGCCTGTCTAAGGCTACAGCCCTAATAGGCAAGCAAAACTTGGATTTGTTTCGGGTGTCCAAATTATGAGACAAGGTGTTTAACGGCTTACGGCAGCGTCTTGACAATCAATATTGCTTAATATAGATTATGAATCTAGAAGCCTGATTACTGAACTGTGGTAAGAATACTATTTCTGAGGTTTCCTGATTTTCATATACTTGTACTTGTACTTGTACCTAGGCTTATACTTAACCTTGTCTTTATACTTTCAACTTTATATACTATACGATGCGTTATATTCCATAAATTATGGTTCTTTTCTATACTATACTATACTACACTGTACCCCACAGAATTAGGGCTCAAGGTCTCGGGTGAAGGTTCGGGTTTGATAAGGTTTTGGGTTGGTATGTTTCGGATTCCAGGTTTGATGACGCAAAGGGCATGTGCGGAGCATGCAAGTGCCATCAACTGGTGTTGTGCCATAGAGCTTGTGTGCAGTTTAGCGTTCAGGAAGTTAACAAGGGTTTGCATACCGGCCTATATGGCATTTCAGCGGCATTTCAGTTTCTTGAGGGGTGGCTTTGCACTGCGTGAAACTTCTTTCCCACCATGTTTCCAAAATCCCGAATTTGGGTTCAGTTTCTGCTCCTTCTTCGTAGACGCAGGCATTTAATGCTGGGTAACGAAATAGCCAGCACCGAGTTCGACCAATTCGCTGGGCGCACGCCCCCCTCCCATCCACCAGAGGATGGAGACTATGATACAGTAGTTTGTCGCTGGATGGTTTAACGCTTATTAGTACCATGACCAAGGTCGCTCATGAGTACCATGACCAAATTCTCTAAACATCGAACTATATATATATATATATATAATAGATATATATATATATATATAGAGAGAGATATACATATGTATATATGTATGGGTGCTCCTTCGAATGAGGAGCCCCTTCATTGAGTGTTTGACTTAACTGGCTTCAACCATACGATCTTAGCCGCGGAATCCAACAAAAAGCAAGCCCCAATCGCTCTTGCCAAACGCAAGGCGCGGCATGCGTGGGTGTTCTATGTACAGTTGGCTGAAATGCAGAATCTCGATCCCTTGAAATCCCCGAATGTCAGCTAACAAGATGCTCACAAGAGTCGTTTCTTCGGACCAAACCGTTTGCCCCAGCCCTGCCTCGGCAGTCAGAAGCCCTAAACCGCAAAACCCCACACCTTCCCTGAATCTCTACACAGGAAGCCCTAAACCCCAAAGCCCTCTTGCCATTCTCCCAGAGCCTGCAGTTCAGCAGTGCCTTTCGGAGCGGACGTCGCGCAATGCTGACTCCGGGAAGCTTCAATGAGCGACCTGTGATTGTACTTCAAGACCAAATCATAAAATCACCCTAAACCCTAAACCCTAAACAGAATATTGAAACAACTTTCTTTACAATGTGTCCAATCTCCGGTCGGAGACTTACAACATTATACACAGTTCAAGCATAAGGCTTTGAAGTACAACCAGGGTTCCTAAGGTATTGTTAGCTCCATCGTAGAAACACGGTTACGTTGAGGTCCTTCCTCAGTCTGGAGATCCTTCTGGGCTTGAGTTGGTATTAGGACCTAGAGGGCGCGATCACTGGATCGAGGTTATGGAATGTAGGGTTCTTTCACGGCTTGCCTCGAAACCGTGCTAACTACAGACGTTCAAGTCGGTTTCGTAGTCTTTCGTGTGGGCTTGGCGTAAGGATGCGATTCTAAATCTGGTCCCGGTGCCGAGAATGTCAAAGTGTCAAGCCTTATGTTCGGTGTTCGAGGCCTTTGCTAAAGCTTAAACCTCAAAGCCCGGAGACCTCAAAATCATGAAGCTTACATCCGAATCTAAGCCAGATGCCCAGTCGTGGAGCCCCACGCCCGATCCGTAGCTGTTGTAGCCAAATCAAATCCTTGAAAGCCCCCCCTAAACCCTAAACCCTAAACCCTAAACCCTAAACCCTAAACCCTAAACCCTAAACCCTAAACCCTAAACCCTAAACATTAACCCCCGCAAGCCTCGTAGATGCCTGCAGCTGAGAACCTTCACACACACGAGGGGAACCGTTCCGGCCAGTGCTTGCGTTCCACGTGACAAGGAGACTGTAGCAGCAAGCAACTAAATAAACCTAATTCAGGGCACCCTATAGACCGCAAAACCCTGAATCCAGAAGCCCTAGAAAATGAGGTTCCGACAACCTGCGAGGGTTGCACATTGAGGCGGTCTGCCCTCCCTAAAAACTTCTCCTGTTGGCGGCGGCTAGAACAAAGATTCGTGCTCATGGAATGTGGGTTTGCCTTCTCTGGGGGTCTTTCTCATGCGGGTCTCTCTGTTGACTGTAGTCGTAATGACCTTGGGGCTGTAAACTGGTACTGCTGATGGAAAAAATCCTGCATGACCCTAAGGACTCCAAACTGTGGGAACTATGGCATATTCCTTATATTATGGGTAATGCAGGGTTTTGTCCATCAGCAGTATCTTGTGTGCGACCCCTAAGCCGCATTGCAATCTTTCTCGGCCTCTGGTTTCAGTTCGGGCTTCGAGGATCTGCCCGAATTTGGGGCCCTATACTACTAAGGGTACTTTATAGGAATCCCCATTAAGGGATCTACCCTAAACCCTAAAACCCTATAGATCCCTAAAGGGGCCCTTAAAGGGATCCACTTTTTGGATCTGCCTAAAACCCTAAAGCCCTAAACCCTGGAACCCTCGCCGGGGCTATTGGGAATCTAGCTGGGTGTGTGAGTGTGAGAATGTTAAAGACCCTGAGTTTTGGACTTGCCTGACGTTGTGGTACCCTAGGGATCTAAGGACTCATATATTAAGGCCTTTGGGCCCACAGGCCATACTATATAAATAAGGCTTTTGTGCTATTTTGACCCCTAGGGATAACTGTTGATAAGGGGACCCTTCCTTTGCTAGCTGTGGAGCTTTAGGGGTGGTGGATTGCTGTTATGGGGGATACTTCCCTAAGTCATAATAGTAATGCCTAATATGGAAACTCTACATTCTGCTATATCGGTACATAGGACCCTTTAGGGGAAAGTCCTATCGAGACAGAGCTTAGGATGTTGAGCGTTCGGGTTTCTGCGGAGATGATGGCCCAAACATGTCGGATCTGAAGTTAAGGATGGGTCTAGGGTTTAGGGTTTAGGGTTGTGAACCTGAAGCATATAACCAGCTTCAAACCTAGCCGATTGCGGAGATTTTATTTAACTATTGGAGGGGGAAGAGATCAAGGCCCGGACCTCCCCAAGCAAACTTACGGGCCGTAGACCGACACTAGAGACTGCGCTCGCTCCGCTTCTTCGGCTCCCTTCCGACAGTAAGAGATTCGGGAGCATGCGTCAGCATTCTCTGGGGCCCCAAACTTCAGGATACTTAAGAAATAGTTGTTAACTTTTGGTCATTATAATCCCTAAGAGACAGCTAAAATTATCATTTTGCTAGGGTTCTATGTACAGTATAGCAAAGTGCATGAGGCCATCAACCCGGTTCAGGCTTTAGGGCCCCGAACCTAAACTCTAAAGCCTTGAACCCAGAACCCCAAATTCCAAAGCCAGACTCTTCTGGCCAGGAGCTTTGATATGGGAGTCTCCCAAAGTAGGGGACCTTAGTACGGTACCCTACTTAGTGTTTCCTTACTATAAAAACCCCCAAAATACGGTACCCCTAATTTTCTGAAACTCCCCTATCATTCATATCGTCCACCCTAAAAGTACCGCAAAGTCCAAAGGAGCAGTTGAGCCTTCCCACCAGCCCCGCAACTCAGAAGAATAGGCCTCCCCAGTAGTAGAGTACGCAACCTCTAACCTTTGTTGGGTAGTATAGTCCCCATATAACCCCTATATACCCAAGAAGGTTAACCTTGAGTTCCCCATGATACCCGACAAGCAGGCCCCTTCTCACCTTGATCACAAAACCTACGGTCCAGCTCGAATAGCCCATGCCACATGCTCCCACAGGAGTCTCTTGCCTGAGTCTGTGGGATTTCTTGGGCACTCAGAGTGGAGATGGTCTAGGTTTTTTGCCGCTCTCTTCTGATAGAAACCCCTATGAGGGGTCTCAAATGATTACCCATATTTTTTTTGTGGATTCCTTATCATAATTGTGGTATATTGGGCCCCGAAACCCTATTCTAATTATTAAGGCCCCTATATTGGCCCTCAGGGCTGAGCTCCATGCGCAGAGGTTCGGGGCTTCACAGTGGTAGGGCACCTTTCCGATTTTGAGTCTGCCCCTCCATGCCACCCCTGAGCAATGAACCCCACTCCCTTACCCAAATCGTCTTGAGAAGGCTTACGATAGGGATCTAAGGCGAATATTGAGGGCATTAATTCAGGAAAAGAAGAAACTCTGCAATAGACAACCTTTTTCAAAGAGCGGAATCAGGGGGTCTACAGCTTAAATCTTAATGCGAAGCCGTCTATGATTCTATGGTTCGAGGGAAACTCCTCATTGAGCCACCGCATGCACACGCAAAGATTTTGAGGCGCGAGTGCTGAACACCTTGAGCAGTGCCCCGAATTCGAATTCCCTTACTGCAAGAGCGCCTAAGAAGCGAATCGGTGGCTCTGGGTCGCTCGCCTTGCAGTTAGACTTTTTTGCTACAAGCATGTTATTTTTCACAGTGCGAGCAACCATGATGTGGTGGAGTCATTCGTGCGAGTGGGTCTTTCCATTTCGGCGTTCATTTGCTTCTGACCCTGCCGTCGCTGACGGCATCGGCCCTGCATCGGGACTTCCTGGAAAAAATATTTCAAGCGGACGTTGAATCGCCAGTTGAATGTTGCAGCAAAGCAGTCGCGACACAGATTTCTTCGATGCTCACATTCATGACGCTTGCTTGAGCTTCTCAGCTGATACGATTGACGCTCAGGTTTCGCGGCGTCTCGGCCGAAAGACTCTTGCCGAAGCAACTGAGGGTGTTCTTTCCTTGCATCGTTGGCAAGTCACGACAGTCTTGCTGACTCGTTTCGGGCCAGGCTCAAAGCTTTGGAAACAGTTGTGTGGGCATGTGACCATCGCATGGTTGCGCGCGGAAGCCCGCAACTTTGCGGGTGCTGGTAGTTTTTGCTCTCATTGCTATGTCAAAGAAATCGTTCGGGAACCCGTAAACCCTCTCAGTGCGATGAACTGCTTCTGTGGGGGAAGTGGTGAGGGCTGCGGAAATTGTATACTGTGCACGCTATATTCCTGGAGCATGTCCGCAACTTTGTGGTCGTCGGTGCTTTTTGTAGTGACAAGGGGAGGCCCATTGCCATGTGAAACAGCACACTGTGTGTTGGGTCATCCACAAACCTTACCTGCTAGTGGCAAGTGGCAACGGTGGAAAATGCTCTGTGGACGTTTGAACATGACGTTGTTCCTCGTCGAAGCCCGCAACTGAATGGCTCCAGTCATTTCCAGGCAGCTAGAGATTTGGCAACTCGTCAGAATGTTCTGGAGGAGCCCAGGACTTGAAATTTGGAATCGCCATGTCTCACCACGTACATATGTGGTGCATGACTGCATCGCAAGCACTTTCCGACTGTTCTGCTGGGACGGCTGGTGTCGAAACCATAGATTCCCTGTAATTACGGATGACTAGAGCCTCATGGCGAATGCCTGGACCCTGTGAGGTCAGGTCACCTGGTCTCTGAGTCCGCACACGTGGGATTTAGAACCATGCATAACCATGCTCAAAGGAATGTGGTGGAAAGCTGCCAGAGTCACTTGAAGAGCTAGAGGGCCAGAGCTGCTACGTTTTTTAAGATATGACCGATGCACTTCCACCGCAGCAGCGAGATGTTGAGAGGTTTGCATAGAGCAGGCTTCTTGTGGATGCTCCGGTGGAGTGATGTGGGAAGGTTGACGAAGGCTGTGATTCTCATTCGGCATCAGTCTTTCGGTAGCAGTGCAAACTCATGCATGTCACAGAACCACAGATCATGTTCCATTTTCGATCATCTCGCCTTAGGTTGCCTGGAATTCAACCGTGGCTGCATGAAGCTTCGTCAATGGTCTTTTGTGCCGGTGATTCCGAACGCAAGAAGATCAACCTTAAACCAGAAGAGGCACATCCCCCTCCCTGCACCCAACGGGCTTTGATGTGAGCTCCCAGTTGTTGTGACGCCTTGCTTGCCGTCTGCGCGTTGCGAGAGTCAAAAACGCGTTAACATGCTTGACCTTACTATGCCCTTACCATAAGGGTATATGTACCCAAATAGTATATACTTTGGCCTTAAAGTAGTCCCTGTATATGTACTTTGTATGTACTTTGGGGCAAAAGTATATATATATATATATATAGATATATATTATTTGGGTACATGGACCTTTATGTACCCCAAATTAAAATGTCCCGAAGCCCTTAAGGAACAGAACCCCTCAAACTTCTTAAAGGAACCTTTAAAGGAGCCTTGGTTATGGAAGTTTTAGACCCTGATCCGAACTCAAAAGATGAACCCGAAGCTGGCGCCGAGGCTTCCTGATGGCGCTGGGGAGGCGCAGGGCTGTGGCTTCAGGGCGCAACGTAAGGGTTCAGGGTTTACTGTAAGGGTTCAGGGTTTTTGGGGTTAGGGTACCAGGGGTTGGGGTTTTAGGGTTTCAGGGTTTAGGGTTTAGATCCTTCCGTTTTTAAAGGGTTGGTAGAAGGGGGATCAAGGGTTCTAGAAAGCAGAATGCTTGTATAACGAGCATACGTATCCGACTTCGAAACTGTTGGTTAGGATTGTAATTGGAGTAGCTACACTTACAATTCCTTTTCCGCAAGTAAGGTATTTGTAACCCACCTTACTAAGTCCCCAGAGATCTCAGACAATGCGAGAGGGACAAAACAAGTCCCCAGATTTTTGTAGTAACCGTCGAGCCCTAGGGTTATCGCTGCAGTACCTAAATATTGAGCAATTCGATGGGGCTCAGGGCTAAGTGTTTAGAAGTTGAACTCTTGGTTATAGACCTACAGTTTTAGCGCCGGCTGGAGCTGCGGGGTTTTTGCCGTCTATACCCGTCAGCGCCCATAGAACTTTTGAAGGACACATAGAAACACCCTCGCGATTTGAAATGCCCCTTCTCTGCCAGGGCGGTTGGACGGGTCGTTTCGAGCAGCATCAACGTGCGGCCGAGGCATGCTTGGACCGGGTTTCCCAAAGGGTCCTATGTACTGTTATGGGGGATACTTCCCAAAGTCATAATAGTAATTCCTTATATGGAAACCCTACATTCTACTGTATCGGTACATGGACCCCTTGGGTCGGGATGTTAAGGCTGTCAAGGCTTTAGGGCCCGGGCTTCTACGCTCCGAGGTCCTAGGTGCGGCTGGTCTAATGTATGTTGATGAGAATTCCTTCAAAGAGTCATGAACAAAGCGCTCCCCAATGTGCTGTTCTAGTCAATAAGGCTCCTACACTGAGTTTTGCAGATTTCAACGGCTTCTGGGTCCTCTCAACCCTGGCTCGTGATATACCCAGAGACTGCGATTTCCCTTAATTAAGGAATGTTCCTAAAATTATGGTAGGATCCCTTATATGATTTAAGGTATATTCCTTAATTAAGGGATATTGGAGTCTCTGGGTAAAGATCTATGAGACCCGCACAAAGACAAAAAGTTGTAAACTCTAAACCACACGACCAAACGGACATGCGTCGCCTATGTACCAGTGCAGTGTATTGTTGGCCCTAATGAACGGACCTACATACGGACCGAAGTATATATTATAGTTACATGGACCCTTGGTTTGTGAAGCGTTTTTGAGCCCCGCAGCGTTGACAGACACCGAAGTTTCACTATACAAGAGCCAGGCGTACACAGGTTCATATGTGTGTACATGCTATGGCTATGACTATTGTAATTGTCACGCTGATGGTTGACATAATTACTTCGTTCTGCGTGTCTGTATGTGTAAGTAATCCCAAAGGGTCCTATGTACCGATATAGTAGAATGTAGGGTTTCTATATTAGGAATTACGATTATGACCTAGGGAAGTATCCCCCATAGCAGTATACACATAGGACCCTTTCTTTGGGAATGACATTGAAGACAGGGGTCTGGGTCGGAGAACTCCTCTGAGGACGCCCATGCTCCGACATTCTAAGGTTCCGCAATGGTAGATTCTGGTAGATTGTGGGACTAGAAGGGCTTACTCCAGATAGTAGATGATGCTAGTGTCTTGTCTTGGCCTCATGGTTGTTGCTGTTTGTACTTTTAGAGCTTTGTAAAAATGTGCAGACCCCTTATATAGCACCCTATATAGTAGGATCCTCATAATAAGGACCCCAAAATAGGCACTCCTAATTTTCGGAAACCCCCATATAAGTGCAGACCCCTTATTCGGGTATTAGCTTGGAAGCATACGTTGCGGAGTCCCCTGATCCCAGAGACTCCAATATCCCTTAATTAGGAATATACCTTCGATCATATAAGGGATCCTACCATAATTTAAGGAATATTCCTTAACTAAGGAATATTGGAGTCCCCTGATCCTTGGTCCTTGAGAGGCGCCAGCGACCATGTTTCGGGGCGTTGGGCCTAGGTATCAACTTGGGATATGTCTTAGGGTTTAGGGTTTAAGGGTTTAAGGATTTAAGGCTTAGGGTTTAGGGTTTAGGCTTCAAGGTTTAGGGCTTTAGGGTTTTAAGGAGGCACAGATATTTGTTTAAATCTGCCGGTGATCCTCGACTACCGACTGCGATGGATTAAGAGGGCTTCATTTCCTGAACGTACCTGCGCCCCAGAGGCGCGGCTGGAGAAGTTGGAAGAGGAGCGCCGCAAGAAGGAGTTTTGGGATGATTACCGGTGCCTTGGACCGTCGCCGTACAGGTTTAGGGCTTCAGGGCTTCAGGGCACAGGAAGCACCATGAAGTCAAAGCCGTAATATCACACATTGTGCCACATCCTGAACCCAAAGTCCCTAGAGCCTTAGAAGAAGATGGGGTTTGACACTCAGGGACCACTTGAAAGACCCCTTGGAGGATCCAAGGACCATAAGGGCTACATGGGGGTGTTGGTGGTTTGGGATGCTTTGGGGTTTCGGTCTAGGTTTTGACACACCGAAACCTGAACCTTAAGCCCCCACTTAACCCCAAATATCCCTCCCTTTTGCAGGAATTTTACGAAGGAAATCACAAGAAGTGGCCCTAAAAAGGTAGGGTTTATGGGGTTCGGGTACACTGTCAGCCACAACCTTGGCTCAAGCCCATAGACGGTGCTTCGATAGCTTAGAGCTGAGCGCCAGACCTTGAGCACGACTCCCTGAAACCTACAGAGAAGACAGAAAGAATGCTCCGACGGCGGTCACGAAGCCCATGTCAGGGTCTGTCATTTCTTGCTGTTAGTCTTGAACCTGACTTTTGAAGCACCGCTGCTGCTAGCCACGTCTTGGGGCTGTTTACTTCCGCCGATGTCGGTATTGTCTTGCAGTCGTAGCTATTCCCAACTTGCTACTCTTGCTATTGAAGCTGTTCTTCCTGTTGCTGCTGCTGTCGCCAGTCTTCGTTGCTGCAGGCAGGGCTTGCAAACATAGTCATCTGGGAGTTTCCAAAAATAGGGGACCCTAATATAGTACCCTATATAGTAGGATCCTTATTTTAAGGACCCAAATAATACGGCACCCCTAATGTCGGAAACTCCCATCTGAGGCGTCGCGAAGACAGGTTGCATCGCCTCCAGTCGAAGGCGGGCTTTTGCCTGAAGTGCCAAGCCTCCCGGGCTTACGCTTTCACCCTCAAGTTTAAGGGTTGGCTTCAGTGTGCCTTATAGGGGCCTTAAGAGTTACCGCAAGTATAGTATACTGGGCCCCAGAACCCGATTCTGGTCATAAAGGGCCCCTATAGTATGTTTGCCACAAGGCTTGTAAGGGGTTGGTGGGGAGCTTTCGTAGAGGTTTCTGCTTTTCGATCAGCTTGGAGCCTTGATGAGGGTTGGCTTGAGTTTTTTTTGTGGATTTTGACTTTGAACTTGCTGGATTGCGGTTAGGCGCTGTAGGAGTTAGATGGAATTTGGTTCCTTTGTGGCATCGTCTTCAGAGACAACTGTTGGACAATTCTCGTCGCTAGAAGCTCGTTCATGAAATCCTCTATCCCAAAACCTGCTGCCTGGTTACGCTTACACTGCATACCTCGGCCACCTGTGCATTTCCATAACCTAAGTATATTGTCATTTCAATTTGTCTGTATACGAGTGTCTCCAATGCATGGATAGTGGTATGGAGCAGTTGGATCATTGCCTAAAGCGGTATATCAACTTTGCACGTATGCGGCCGAGCGTTTGAAGCAAGTCCTGATGACATATTTTTGCAGCCGAGTCTGCATAGTTGCTCTTGTGCTAGGCCACAGAGACTTGGCAGTCCTACCTGCATGACGAGTCATGCATGCAGCCACGCTGCAAACTCTACACCGTGATCCCAACCCCCATAATACCACTTATAGTAATCCTTGTAGACCCCTTTAAAAGGAATCCCATTCTTTCGGCCACTATATTCTCCACATAGTCTGTCACTTGATTCAAGAGGGCAGACGGAGCAAGAGAAGACTGTCTTTGGGAGTTTCGCAGCAAGCAAGGTTCCTTACGCTTCCTTTAAAGGGAAAGTACCTTTAAAGGGATCTAAAAGGGTTCTATAAAGTGCTTAGGGTTTAGTTTCCGCAAACAAGGGGTCCGTATAATAAGGATCCCACTCGTTTTCGGAACCCGCCGTATCTCTATGATCCCTGCTACCCGGATCAACTCCAGAAGGGAGCCCCCCCAACATGAACTTGTGGGGGGGGATGACACCAAGGGTCCAAAAGACCCAATAATGAGGTACTCGGTGTTAGGATAGTGGTTATGTAGCCCTAGGGCTCCAGTGACCTAAATAGTAGGTTACTGGGGTACATAATATATGGTTAGTAACCTACTATTTGGGTAACTGGAGCCCTAGGGTAGGCTAGGACTTTGGAGAGTCAATGATTTATGAGGGACTTGGACCCTTGGGGTGAGGAGCGGGGTTGGGGCGAGCAGACGGCAGCTATGGCATGGTGGCCGAGCACAGAGCGTCCTTGAACATGAGGGGCCTAGATAATTGCCTACACTATTGTGGGGTTCTTTACGAAATTTATAGTACAATGGGCCCCAAAACCTTATTCTAACTATGAAGGCCCCTACATTACGTGTTCGCATCGAAATACTCTATGTGCTGGACGAGTTTCCGACTTACTTGCCTTTGGACTCCACATCCCACACCGTGGACGACCGAAACTCCTTGCTCCAGAGATTTTCCGCTGAGGCTGGACTGGTTCGGATCGCATATTCGCAGGACGTACACATGCCAAGAACTGGCGAGACCGGTGGAAGCAGCACTTGCAAGAGATGCCGGTGACCAGCAGCGGCGGGAGAATAGAGGTTAAAAGTATTTGGAGTTAAGGGTGCCGGTGTCAAGTTTTAGCGCTTTGGGTTTCAGGGTTCATGTTTTGGCTTTGGGGTTAGTGTCCGAAGCCCTGTGTGACAAAGAGCCAAGCTGCCCATGCCCATGACGGATATAGGATGACAGGAGGCGGTGCAAGACCACTTGCAGCATCAAGTCACTTAGCATGCAGGGATATAAGTAGGATAGCTGCGCTTGCAATTACATGTCTCCTTTGTAGTGTGGGGGTTCCTTATTATGAACATAGCATACTGGACCCCAAAACCCTATTCTAATTCTTAAGGCCCATATAATAGTCATACTTCTGAAGTCACCTGGTCAACCCCTAATCCAGTGCAGGCGAGCGGCGAGAATGTGGACTTCTTTACGCGGACGTTGACCAAGGTGGCCGCCCTACCCAGAGACTCCAATACCCCTTAGTGAAGGAATAGAATTACCTTAAATCATGTTAAGGATCTTGCTATGATTTCCGGTATAGTTTTTGTTCCTTGATTAAGGGATGTTGGAGTCTCTGTTCACCCTGGGCCGCAGAAGATCGTGTCACTGGACTAATTAGGGTTTTAGTGATTACCTATACTATTTCGGGGGTTCCTTTACAGGATTATATAGGGGATCTATAGTAGGGTTCTGTAATATCGGGGCCTTACTAATTGCCAATACTCTTGTTTTTTGGGGGTCCTTATTATTAGTAAAGTGCAATGGGCCACAAGACCATCTTCCTATAGTATGAGTTTCCATCTTTATAGGATTAAGATTTTGGTGTCGATTTGTTTCTGGAGTGCAAAGTTAACGCAAGGTGGAGAGTGAGCCGATTGTGTGAGGAGTCAATGTCAAGTCACATGGGTCACAGCTCAGGGTGCTTCAGTTTTTTTCTGAGCTTTGGAGTACCATACTTTAATACTTTTTGCTTAACGGAACCATTATGACGTAAGAGTTGATACTTGTTTCTCCCTGGTTACTTGAAAGCCCAGTTTAGCCACCCTCTAATTGAGTCCGTTTCTGGCTCCGGCATCACTTGTCAGAATTGTACGACAAGGAAGCAACCAAACGAACTACAACATGTGCGGGTCCAGTCTAGGAAAGTATGCTAGTCTTGGTCTCAGTGTCTTGAATTCTTCTAAACCTTGTATGGAGGCTTCTGTTTGTCCGCAACAACAGTTGTTGTGCATTGCAGTCCTCGCCACCCTGAGCCATATAATCCCTGTAAACACGTGCATGTAGTTCAGCAGTTCTAAGTTCGGATCTTTTGGAGCTTTGCACATCATACTGTACATAAAATCTGTGATCCATAACCCTAAGGCACAAAATAGCCCAGAAGCCTTCTGCAGTGTGGTCTTTGGGCCCAAAAGCCTGAAAATGCAAGTCCTTGGGGCATCATCTTTGACGAGTTGACCGCTTCGTCGAATCTGGCTTAGGACTTTAGGACCTTCTGCTCACATGCCTACTGGGCTCTTGTTAAGGGATTTAACTTAACGGGGTTTAAGGTTTAGGGTTGGGGGTTTAGGGTTTAGGATCTTCAGTAATCAGAATGGGACTTTATGTAAATAGGTTGGTTTCCTTACTATGGCACCATAATCAAGAAACCATATTAGTTAAGTTACTGTTGCAGTAAACTGACATAACTTCGATGCTCGGAAGCCCAAGCCCCAGATGCCAGTTGTCAGAGGATCAATATGCAGGCGATTGAAGTTGTGTTTTCACAATCCCGAAAGAAGTAGGGCTTTTTACTATGTACTCAAAACGCTGGACATACATATTGAAAGACAAGCCTTGCGATTCCCTCTTGGTTTCAAACGCAAATTTCGATGTTTATTGTTTACTGAAGTACAAAAGGATTAGCCCAAAGGGTCCTATGTACTGTTATGGGGGATACTTCCCTAAGTCATAATAGTAATTCCTAATATGGAAACCTTACATTCTACTACATCGGTACATAGGACCCTTTGGGTAGAAAAAGACTAAACCCTAAACCCCAACGGCCCTAACGCAATGCGGGCTTCGTCCTTGCTAGGTAGGAGGGAAAAAAAACCTAAACCCAAACGGCTAGGTCCAGTCCCAGGAGGCCCAGCAAAGTCCTGGCAATACTGCACCCTTAACTGGCTCAGAAGCTCCACCTTAGCTGGGGTATAAGCTGTGCTAGGACCCAGAGTAGGCCCTTATTCCCTTTTTAGTTTCCCTTATGACCCCCTTTAAACCAAAAAGGGCACCCTTTTTATTCCTAGGTTACTCTTAGGTCTAGTATATAAGTATTACTAAACACCATGCTTCCGAAGACAGGTGTTCTTTCTAAGTTTCCTCATCCTTGAAGTAGAACCCTGTGCCTTTGAGGTGGGTTTCTTCCGGAAATCGGCCACGGATCGAGCTGCTCGTCAAGAAGATGCCTGCAGTCACCAGAACCCTAAACGCGAAGCCTAAACCTCGAAAGCTCATGACTGAAACCTATCCCAAAAAGGAACCCTATTAAGTTATATTATATTATGGGTATAATGAGGACCCCCCCAAAAAAAACATAGTATACCTAGAGCCCTCGGCACGAGAGGCCTGCAGAGTCTCTCGCTGATTGTTCCGGGCTTGGTTCGAGGCGTACTCGTAGTGTTTATACGAGGGAGGATTGAGGTCTGCAGCGGGACTAGGCAGTGCTACTGTTGATGATGTAAATCCTGCATTACCCTAAGGACCCTAAACTATGGGAATTATGGTATATTCCTTATTATCAGTCATGCAGGAATTATATCATCAATCGTGGAACCAGCTATATACATTTATCCCGAAGCTATGGTGGTGCTCGGGGTTTTCGGGCAAGCCGAATTTGGAGTTCGGAATGCTAGCCTAGGCGGATGGATACCAGCCTTCTGAACAGAATCGATCTAACTGCTGCGAGCGTATCCTGTAGGCAAGTGGGAATCGAGAGTCCTTCTAGTGTGGCCTTACAAAGCCTGTCGCTTTCATTTTAAACAAGCCTTTGGCAGTACGTGCCCGCTTACCTTGTTACTGTATGCCTTGGGTACAAAAACTCCCAAGGACAGAGGCACCCCTTTGCCGAACCGCCAAACATTAATACTTCGGTGTTTTAGTTTTGTGAAGCCATTGCGGTTTTAAGTATTTCGGTTTATACAGCAGCTACAAGTGCGTTGATTTTGCTTACTTGTAACCCTCAGTAATTTAAGCCCCTGATCTTTCTCGGTAGCTAATCCACAGAAATTCCCTGAACCCAAGTACCGCTTGTGCCGCGCTTGTTCCTGGCTTGGACAGAGACTTGGTTAAAACGGTGGCCGCTCCGAAAGCGCCATGGATCTCACGGAATTCCTGAAGAAATACAAGGACCGGGGGTTTAGGGCTTGGGAGTGTGTGGCAGGGGGTTTAGGGTAGCGTCCCACGTTCATATTTCCGCTGTCCAAGATCTTGAATACTGCGGAGATGAGGCGTATTGAGCTGCACCTTTACTCCAGATAGAGACCCAGAGCTACCCGACACGGGCAGCCCCCAACCCAAGCTTTAACCCGATGGGTCTGAGACGATACATATCCTCCCATGCCCAAAGTTGAAAACCCCATGATTCCGGCACCCTATATTATGTTGTTTAGGGTTTAGGATATAGGGGTTAGGGTTTGGGGGTTAGGGGGTTAGGGGTTAGGGTTTGGGGTTTAGGGTTGAATCCTAGCTTTTTTCAGCCCTCTGCTGTCTACTGAAACACCCTCGTCTCCTTAACCTTCCCCGGCGAAAAACAATACTCCAAGGGCTGACGCCTAACACCAAGAACCCTAAATCCTGTAAGTCCCAAAACCCTTCACAAACCCAGTAGAATTTTTTGTAGGAGCCGTTGAACCCTAAACTGCAACAGAGCCTTTCGCCACCTCGTAGTGCATCGTCATACCGATTGACTTCGTCGGGCATGTCCGAGTACGAGTCAACCTAGGAGCCCTTCAGAAGCCCAAATCCCAACAGTCCCCAAGCCCTAAACTGTCCCTCCCCGTTCCAGGCGAACGACACCCCAACTTCTGAGCCCCAAACCTCTGAGCACCTTCGTATACCCTAAAAGAATAGAAACCCTGGCCGCTTCAAACTCTCCTTTCCCATTTCAACCGAAAGACGCCCCAAACCCCAACGCCAACAGCCTAAAAAGCCCGTAAACCAGCGCGCGCCGTGAAGTCCTAAGCCCGAAACATCCCGAAACTCTGAATCCTAATCCCTAACCTCTACACCTAGGAGGGCATGACCCAAATCCTAAACTCGAAGCCCTGAACCCATAAACTCTTCGCCCCCATTCCACCCCCCAAACCCGAACTCTCAAATCCACAACTCTAAGCCCATCTAGGCCCTGCACTTTCATGCCTCGTCCCATGCCCCTCAGCCCTGAATTCATGAACCTTACCTAGAGGCTCCATCGTGGCTCTTTTTTGTGGTTAATCTTTAGAATCCTATCATCTAATCCCAAAAAGGCGCTACTATGGAGCCTATGGAGAAGCCCTATGAACTCTTCTTTCCCCGTCCCACTGTCCCATTCCAGGTGAAAGACCTGCCACTTCCGAAGTCGCTGGTCACGTCCCTGGGCCTCGAAATGCTTTAGGGTTCAGGGTTTAGGGGTTTAGGGTTTATAGGGGCTTAGGGTTTAGGGGTTTAGGGGTTTAGGGTTTATAGGGGCTTAGGGTTTAGGGGTTTAGGGTTCACAGGGGCTTAGGGTTTAGGGGTTTAGGGTTTAGGATTCAAAGTTTAGGGTTTTCCGGCGAAGTGTTTCGGGAAGGTATGGGGTTCGGGTTACGTAGGACATTCGTCAGTCAGTGTCAGACGTCAAGACTTCTGTTTCGGGGTTTGGTGTTTGAAGGTTAGGGGCTCCGGCTATGGGAAGTTTCGGATTTTGGGCTTACGGTTTAGAGCTTTCAGGTTTAGAGGTTCCAGGTTAGTTGGAAGCAGCGGAGAACTTCCACATCAAGTGTCTCGTTTGAGACTCATCATTCGCGACACTCTGTACTGGGCAAGAGCAGGCGTCAGCGTTGAATTTAGTTGTCTCACGGATTGGAAAGTCTTCCCAAGCACGGTCCTGCAAGCTTTGAAGTGTTGCTCAGTAAGATACTGTTCTCCGAGGGCTCTAAGCACCACATGTTGGAGTTTTTGAGAGTGACAGTAACTTTGTGGCCTAAAGCGATGCCAGAAGGTTGAAGCAGTCGAGCGATGGTTTGTACAGCGCGGCTTGGCTGGAACTGGTTTCACTTGAGCCGTCAACTGGACGGGAATCGCGGGTTCAGATAACAGCAAAGCCTGGCAACTTGTACAGGCTATGTGTTGAAGGGCCTACATGAGAATCAACTACAAGAGCAAGTCTGCGAACCAAGAGCCATCATACAACAGCACCTGCGCAGAAGGCAAAGTTATTGGATAGCCATGGATTAGGACATCGTCGATGTGGCATACCCCGTAGTGCATTTCCCCTTTGGTGCAAGTAGTGCGAGTTTTGTTTGCTATTGTCTACCCAGTGCGTCATCACAACGCATGCTTAGAACGTGTCTTATCATGAGTCACGCTTTTATCTTGATTCAGTTCATTCCTAGCATTCATATCAGCCGTTGTTGGTTCCAAAATCGTTGCGGTGGCCGGGGAAGCTTCTCCTGTCAACAAAGATGTACGTGCCCCTGGTGCGGGTTGTTTTGGCATCAGCATTTCGTGCTTACACATCGTCGACTAATAGATTATACTCTCCCCTCCCTGTGTAAACAGATACAATAGAGACCCCATATTTACGGTGCTTCCAGAATCGTGGCTTATTCAGAGCTGATAGTACTACAGGGAACTCCAGAAATTTGGAATATGGTGTCATGGTAGGATACCCTATAATTTACCATAGAAGGGTTAGGATAATCATATTCCAACTTTCTGGCTTTTACCTTATGAGGTTTTGTCTTGAGGTGAGAGTTGGTTTGGGGTCGAGGGTTCGTGCCCATTTGCTTGCAACATAGGCTCTAACCCGCCAACTTTGCGCCTGTAGAGCCTTCTAGAGATCTTGTTTGTATCTGTAATCGTACCCTCAGGAAAAAATAAGATCCACCCTAAACCTTTGTACAACCCTAGTACAAGCCTCTACATCCCCCAAACCTGTGCACTGAACGCTAGACTCGTGGCTTTTGTGTTCCTAAGCCCTGAAAGCTGGTGCCACGGGCAGAGATTCCCCAGAGACTATAGAACCCTCACAAAAACTAGGTTGGATTCTGGGACATTTTATATTTTCCTTATTTGGGTTTATAAGGGACCCTACATATAAATACATATTTTCAGGGTGTTTAAAGGCCAGCCCAGAAAATGGGAGAAAGCTTTGCAATTGACGTGGCCAGGAGCGATCAAGGCTTTGATCGATAGACCCTTTCAAGAAGCCACATAAAACTCTAAGACAATCTTTTGACTACATAAACCCTATACACCAGGCATACTTACATACATACATACAACCCACTTAAACTCCATACCCGGGACAAACCGATCATATCTACATCAACAAACCACTGACTTAAGCCCAAAGCCATTGAAAACCATTTGAAACTGACGTACGACGTACGTACATAGGAAAAAGGCATACACACCTACACTAAGCCACCGGAAGGCGATCCAGGCCTTGACCGAGCATCACTTGCTCTCCGCCCCTGTGGTGGACTCCAGCGGCTCCTGGACCCGGTGGTATACCCATAGTCTCCATTGTAGTTCTTTTTTTCTATTTAGAATCCTATAAGGTAACCCCCAAAAAGGCACTACAATGGAGACTATAGGTAGTTTCTGGGTTCTAAAGGGTTTTCAGGTTTAGGGATTTTGGGTCCAGGGGTTTAGGGTGTGGTGTGTTTTCCAGGATGTTCTCAGGGTGCTTGTAAGAGTATTACACAGGTTTCATAAAAGGTCTGTTGGGACGCCTTGTTATATAAGTCAAAAAATACTCGGCCATTAAAGAGTTGTGGGCTGTTTGGTTGCTGATGGCTGGGCTAAGGGTGTAGTGGAGCTTCGGGCGTGAGATGGGGCTCGCAAGGATTTGTCAAGCAAAAAAAACTCCTGGATCCTAAGCTTAGAAAGAAATGCCCATGCCGAATCGGGTTTCAAACCCTTGCAGAAGCCCTTTTCACGAATGTCTAAGCCCTGGGTCTTCATGGTTAAGGATCTTCGGGTTCGTGGTGAGGGCTTCGGGTTGAGTAATTTTAGGGTGCAGGGTGTTCGATTTTTACAGGGCTTTGGGGGTTTGGGCTTGGGGGCACAGGGTTGTAAACATGCCGAACCCGAGTCAGTCCTAAACCCTAATCCCTAAACCTCCAAACCCTAAACCCCTCCAGCTGAGGCAAGCTCGTAGGCATGCTCGACACTTTGGACATCGCCGCCCACGTGGTCGAAAT